AGCATTTATAGTGGGATAAATGTTAGATATGATGAAATCGTTTTCCCAATCTTCTATAAAATTGTTAACAATCATGCCTGTGTTAGTTTTAAATATCTCTTTTTAAAAGATTCGTATTTTTTCCTCTCCATCCAATTGTTATGCTTTCTTCTCTCCGCTAGCAGGAGATTTGTAGTTCACTGGTTTCTTTTCCACCCGAGCTGCGCAGAGTAATCCACTGAGTTAGGTGATGCTATATCAAATAGGTAGATTATTTCAATTTTCCTGAACAATGTATGTCCATGCCTGTCTGTTAATACATCTCTTAAGGTCCTCCTCCAAACTTTCCTCTTTGCTTGCTTTATAATCTTTCCCCTTTGCTATACTGGTGACATTAATGACTGTGCTTCATTTTAAACTGTGAAAATGAAAGAATGGATAAAAAATCATCTATGCCTATTAGGGAAACAAATGTTACATGTCCATTTAGACTTTGTGGTGCACAGACCTGGCCTGAGATTGGACATGAGAGGTTCCTGACAGAGAAATGACATTGGCAAAAAAGAAAAGAAAAAGGAAAAGGCTTCATGGAAAATAAAATAATTACAATGGTGGCCAGGAAAATGATTGAAAACATACGAAAAGCTGGTGGATGTAAGTTAAAAGAAATGTGCACATATGAAAGCTTTCCCTAGAGTGTGCATGAGACTCTGCCCCTATTCAGTCTAGACGTGCTCAGGAAGCTAGCAACAGAATCAAAAGTGTGAGGAGCCCTAATGCACTTGTGTGTGTCGGGGCATTTGGTTCACACCTGTAGTAGTATATGTAGATTCCATTATTAACGTTTTTTTAAAAAGCCTTTGCCCAAATGTTAAAAATAAAATGATGCTGCACCACTTAAATATTATCTGAAATGGTTGATCTAGTCATCCTTTGCTCTGCAGAAACTTCCCTCACTTAATCGACTTCCTGCTTGTCTTCTTTTGATTATACCTTCCTGGAATCAAATCCTACAGAGCCTGGCTTCTCTGCCCTGACAGTCTTCCACTCTCCCTGTTTATTCTTTCATGGCATGGGTTCGCCAACATGGGGACATCACCCTAGCCAACGGAGGAGCCTTCTGCCCTGTCGTGCAGCTATGGTCTCTTCTAACTGCTCCTCTTCTCTCCCCAAGCATCGACTGCTGGCTCAAAACACTGAAGCAAGAAGCAGTCTGGTAAAACCTTGGCAGCTGGTCTGGTGACAGTCA